CGTGGATCTGTGAGAAGGTCACTTTGAGAACTGTAGTTGCTGCTTCTGTAAGAAGTAATTTTTAGGGGAAATCTATTTGAAAAAAAGTGACCTCAGTTTTCCATGATTTCAGTACATGCAGTTTATGCATGACTCATACAGCTAAGCATGGACACACATTCTAGTGCTACTGCCCCTGTTCCTTACCTCTGATTGGAAAATTCTGCCTTACCATAAGCACAAGCATTCATGAAATAACAAAATGTTTACTTACCAGGCACCAGCTCTTCAGTAACTTCTTCCTCTGTACATTTTTGTAAAACAGCAATACATACCAACTTATCTTAGCTAGTACTAAAATCTGTCAGTCTCACCTCTGCACAGGGAAAGATGATGGAACAGATCCTCCTTGAAGCTATTCTAAGGCACATGGAAAAAAAGAGGGGTGTATAGTCAATAATTATACAGAGATTAGGCTTGGTATGATGTAAGATCAATAACTATACAGATTAGGCTTAGTAAGGTTATCACAGCAGAAAGATAATCAAAATAAACAAAAACGCTCACTGGTGCTGTAGGCTCACAGCAAACTCCACAAGAAGCAGTCTCCAGAGAGAGATCCTTCCTCAGTGACAGTCAGCTCTTAAATGGGGTCTAGGAGAGGTGAAGCCAGGCTCCAGCCCTTCCTGGTAGCACAGGAGAATTGCTTTCACCTGTTCTCCTGCAGCTGACTCGTTGCTTGCCTCAGGTGGTCAATCAGAGGATCAGGCTGTGGTCAAGTTCCCATACAGGGGTTGACTTGAAAAAACTAATATGGCTTCACAAAGGTCAAATCCTGCTTGGACAACCTAGTGGCCTTTTATGATGGTGTAACTGCATCAATGGACAAGGGAAGAGCCACTGATTTCATCTATCTAGACTGCACTGAGGCCTTAGATGTGAACACTCTTCTCTGAATTGGAAAGATATAGATTTGATGGGTGGACTTTTCAATGGACAAGGAGCTGTTTGTGAAATTATTCCCAGAGTTATGGTCAATGGCTCTAGGCCTAAATGGTGATCAGGGACAAGTGGTGTCCTTCAAGTCTATACTGGAATCAGTGCGGTTTAATATCTTCATCAACAACATCAACAGTGGGATCAAGTGCACCCTCAGCAAGCTGGTGGATGACAGCAAGCTGAGTGGTGCATTTGATATGTCAGAGAGACTGGGTGCCATCCAGAAAGACCTAGACAGGTTTGAGCAGTGGGCCCAAGAGACACTCATGAAGTTCAACAAAGCCAATTGCGAGATCTTGCATCTGGGTTGTGGCAACCTCCACTATCAGTACAAGCTGGGGGGTGAAAGGATAGAGCATAGCCCTGCTGAAAGGACTTGGAAATACTAGCAGATGGCAAGCTGGACATGAGCCAGCAATGTGCCCTTGCAGCCCAGAAAGCAAAGTGTGTCCTAGGCTAAATCAAATGTGGCACGACCAGCAGGCAAGCAGGTGAACCTGCCCCTCTGCTCTGAGCTGGTGAATCCTTACCTGGAGTGCTGCATCCAGACGTGGAATCCTCAGTACAGGAGAGACATGGACTTGTTGGAGCGCATCCACAGGAGGGCCACAAAAATGGTGCAAGGGATTGAACACCCACACTATGAGGATAGGCTGAGAGCTGGGGCTGTTCAACTTGGAGAAGAGAAGGCCCTGGGGAGACCTGAGAGCAACCTTTCAGTGTCTGAAGAAGGGCTGTAAGAAAGAAGGGGACATACTCTTTTGAAGGGTCTGTTGTGACAGGACAGTGGTTTCAAACTTAAAGAAGGAAGATTTAGACTGGGGTGTCAGGGACCTAAAGGCCCCAGCTGAAGAATGATCCTGAGATGGAACAAAGTATTCTGACAGTTTAAAGGGAACTGATATTTGTGGCTGTTGCTGACCTTGGTAGTTGATCTTGTTTTTGCAGGGACATGTTTTGCAAGCAGGTGTTCCACTTGGGCTCTGTGTCACACATTGGCAGTGCGGGTACACTGCGCAAGTGGAAAAAACCCTGTAGACCATGGGCGGAATAAAAGCAGGAGAAAGGCTGTGGTGCAGGAGAGAGGAAAAGCACACTTTAAAGCAGGGGAGGCCCTGCTGGCACTGCCTACCAAATCCACCACCGGCACGTTCCTTCTCTCCCCTTTTGGGCAGTTTGCTGTCTCTCAAGGGTCAGTAAGTTATAGTGCACTTGCTTAGGGAGTTTCTGCTTATGGGGATTATCTAAAATGGATGCCTGCGTGTATACGAGTGAGTGTATGCTGAATAACACCCATAACCCTCTATGCTTCTCTGAGCACATGGTTTGCTTGCCTCTGCTCCTGAGACATCCACTCTTTCAGATCCAAACGTACCCTGAAACAACTAGATATAAGGAAAAGAGTTGTTACAATAGGGGTAGCAAGGCACTGGCACAGGTTGCCCAGAGAGGTGGTGGGTGCCCCATCCTTGGAGACACCCAAGGTCAAGCTGGGCAGTGCTCCAAACATCTGATGGAGCTGTAGGTGTCCCTGTTCATTGCAGGGGAGTTGGACTGGATGGCCTTTAAAGGTCCTTTCCAATTCAAACAACTCTGAGCTTTTAGGATCTATCTGGGGGGGGAAAAAAAATAGAAAAAAAAGAAAGAAAAAAAAAAGCACCACAGAAAAAATGCTGGACTGATGTTCTGCAGTACTTTTCTACCCTTAGGAGAACCACATTCTCCGTGTCACACCACCACCACCGAAACGCACAGAAGATGGAGAGGGACACTCCATCTGAGACTGCAGGCAGAATTTGCTTCTGAGTTTCTGCACGTCCTGTCCAACAGCACTGAGCAGCACAACAGTGAATGCAGCATGAGGAAGTGAGACAAATTAGAAGAACTGAGTTCTGATGGTCAGTCTGAGCTGAAAGAGATGCTACAGTTTCTGTCTGCAACTGAAGCCAAGTGATCTGTAACGCCCGCAATTACAGCACTTTACAAACGGAAGAGGAAAGCCTTGACCATAAGTTGATTAATTCTGAACTAATTTTAAGGGTTCAGAAAACAAAAAAATACTTCATTACTAACGATTTAAACGTTGCATGTCTACATGAAGAAATATATATTTGCTCAAAGTTCAGAAGATTGGAGGGTAAAATTAATCATCTTCCTTACGCTTAATTGCATTCAGCCTTGAGATACATACTTCTATGAGTTCTGTAAATTTGGCTTATATATACTTTTGTATAGCTATAGTTATACATACATCTCATGTTGCTGCTTCTGTTTCTGTTCTCTGACTGGGAAACACTGCTTTACTACTGGTAAAGTTGCTCTACAAGCATTTACATCCATTCTACCTTTGAATACATGTGCACCATAGCTTACCTGGAGATGAAGAGAACGGGCTGCTGAGGGATGTCTTTCCCAGGGGGACTCATTTTTCCAGGAAGACACCTCTGATACAGTATTTCCTCATGGAGGGCTTCCTGAGCACAGCCACACAATATTTAGCGTAAAGGCATCAGAGGAACACAATTTCTTCAGACCACAACTCACCAAATTGGCTAAAGGAGGCAAAGGGAAATGCTGAAGTTTAACAAGGAAAGAAAACAGACAGAAGAACACAAACCACATGGTCAGGGAATATCCAACAAGGATCTTTTACTCCCTTTCCACCGACATTTTCCTGCTGCTCCATCCCATTCCCCTCTCTCATCTAACCTCTACTGATGCTGAACTCTTCTGCCCAATCCACATATGGCATGCTTTGAAACTCACTGCTCTATACCATTTAACCACAGTCCTCTTCTTTAAAATTGAATGACTGACATATAATTTCAGAAGTCTCAGACTGACCCAGCAACTGAGAATGAGCAGAAGCAGAAGCTTAGACACAGCTTTAAAACTGCAGCATATGTTTGTGAACCAATTGCATGGTCAAGAAATGTTGGCTGGGACTTTAGATATTTCATGAATATCGTGAAGTCATTTCATGAAACCAGATTTGGGGTAGTAGGGGTGAGCAGTGAGGTTTTTCTTGTTCCTTTGGCTGAAGAGGCTCATGTTTCTGGCACTGAATGCATTTGAACAGTGGTATGGAGACACCAAAAGGAAAACTGCCCAGGTAAGGAGTAAAAAGATCAGATGAGAATCATATTGTGAAGCTTTGTGTCTATAGCAAAGTGTGAGCAATCACTTCAGTTTCTGGGAAATCTACTGCAAATCATGATAGGAATGTACAAGACATCTGTGATGGGCATGTCTTCAAATCTAAGTAACGATGGCTGGCTGTAGAAAATTCACAAAGGCTGGATATGGAAAGGTAACAGTAATACTGAAATCAAAGCAGAAACATCTTCACTTGTCCTGCAAAGACACATTGTTTTAGCTACTTCACTTGATTTGACAAAAAAATTTTGGTTTTGCAGACTTTTATAATGATTACACATTGAAGTGGGCAATATACATGCAATATACATGCAATATACATGCAATATACAAACTAAGAAGAGGGAGAGCTTTCATATGTTCTAGAGGACTGTTATCTTTCTGTTTTCTTTGGAATGCTTTAAACACATGCCTCCAGGTTACTGTTTAAAATGGTCATGCAGTCACTGAATAAGATGATATTTGCATGCATTGTCACAGATTCAAAATACTTCTCTTTTCAAGGTTTTCCCTCCATTTACATACTTAGTAGGGCTTGACAGTTATGGTTTTACTTCCTCTTGCACAAGGAACAGCAAACCGTTTTGAAAAGGCTGTATTGCTTCTCCATTAATTTTAATCATACAATATGAAAGCTAGAGTGAGCATTGTCCAAACAAGATCACATAGGCTGTATGCTAATTCCAACCGGAACTGCTTCCGTCTTCTGTCAGTAACATTAACAAAGTGTGCCTGTGTTTGCTCTTTGCATCAAAAACTTCTGCCAACATCACACCCAATTAATTATCACATAACACTCCCCCCCTAATGCTCTGGAGGTACCATGTAGGTACGTGTTCCATTAACTTGTCTTTTTCTTGTTCTAGGGACTGGACACAGTGCTCCAGATGGGCTCTCACTTGAGTGGAAAAAATCATCTCCCTCAACCTGCTGACAACACTCTTCCCAATGCAGCCCAGGATATTGTTGACCTTCGACGTGACAAGAACCTGTTGGTAGCTCACATTAAACTTGGTGTCCACAAGGACAACAAGGTTCTTCTCAGCAAAATTTCTTCCAGTCGCTCAGTCCCCTGTGGATACTGGCATGTGAGGCTATTCCTTCCCAGGTTCCACAATTCCATTTGTTAAACTTCGTGAAGCTTTCTGAAACTTTCTCCAGCCTGCCAAAGTCCTTCTCCTGGTGTGGCAGCCACTCCTCCCAGTATTGTGCTTTCTCTGCAGGTTTGCTGGTGATAGATACTCTGTCCAGTGTCTGTGTCAGTAGTGAAGTTAAGCAGTTATAGGGTCAATATCAATATCTGGATATACTACCAAGAACTGGTTAGCCACTGGATTTTGTACCACTAGTCACAAAATCCCTGAGCCCAGCAGTTCAGCCAGTGTTCAGTCCACATCAGAGAGTTTACTCCACTTACACTTCATGGGTTTATACATGAGGAAGGCATGGGACACAATACAGAAAACCTATTAAAAGCTGAGATAAGTAACAGTGCTCTCCCCAAATCCCCCAAGCCATTCATCCCACTGCAGAAAGCTGCCATGTTGGTTAAGCACTGCTTTCACTTTGTGAATCCGTGCTTACTACTATCACTTTCTTCAAAGAAAGCTTAGATGTGCTGTAGAGAAAATGAATGAGTTCTCTGTAGTACGTTTCAGCTCTGTGGTACGTCCCAGAGCTGATTTTCTTCACAGTTGCTGGTATAATGCTGTGTTTTGGCATTAAGAGAAAAACTATGTTGACAACACACCGATGTTTTGGTTGTTACTGCATAGTGCCGTACAGAGCCAAGCACATTTTAGTTTCTCCACTTCTTCTACTGTCCTGGCAGCGAGGGATCTGGTAGGGCACAAGGAGTGGAGGGGGGACAGAACCAGGACAGCTGACCTAAACTGCCCAAAGGGGCACTCCATGCATATGGCATCATGTGAAAACTATATAACTGAGGGGAGCAGCCACCGCTCAGGGCCTGGCTGAGCATCAGTTAGCGGGTGCTGAGCAATTGTGTTGTGCATCACTTGTTTTGTAAATATATATATATATAATAATTAGCATCATTACTATTATTTCTCTCTTCCTTTTCTGTCCTAGTAAATGATTTTTATCTCAATCTGTTGTTCACAGAGCAGTTTTTACTTGCTTTCAAAGTTGTTTTTCTTAACTCTGGCCACGTTATTCATCACTCTGAAAGCTGGTCTAGGCGTATTTATGATTTTTCCAGCTTGTATATAGCATATGCTCTTGTTATAATACGATCCGGTTGTGGATTTATTTTGGTAGTAGTACTCAGCAGTGCCATCATCCTCGCACTTTAGGAACCTTATCGTGGAAACGTAACAAGTACATTCTTTACATGTCAACCAGGCAAGTGGACCACCATGGAAAGAGGTATCCAGTGTCTAAGGGAATTAGCTGTGCTGGAGGTGATGTATAATGTTGGCCTGAACTACCAATTATTCCAAAATTGAGATGTGCTATTTCACAGTCTGTGCGGGGTGAGTTTGTACGGAGTTCACCATCTCTGTATGCCAACTCACTGCCAGCAATGACCTGGAAAGACAGAGAAGAACAGATGATGGATAAATTCACTGACCAACTCCAGCAATATATATATCTCTCCTCCTCTCTGAGGGCCTGTGTTTCAGCTGTGGAGAAGCATTCCCAAGTGGCCGAACAAGTCGAAGGGAATAAATCTGTCCTGCCTGCATGGACAAGCATCTCAGCTACCAGAAGTAAGCATTTTTCAATTCAAGACAGAAGATATATTGGGTGTACATCACATGCTAACCTGTGGTCTTACCTGCATGACCATGGAGAGGATATGAGGAAATGAGATGGAAAACTCACTTCAATCCTAGAGGTACAGATATGTGAGTTGCAAGGGAAAACCATTCCTGGAAAATGACCATTCCACTTGCCAGTGGGTAGTTCTCCAAACAGAGTAGATGGCCTGACCTTATTTCTGAGTTTGATAACCAGCCTTTTGGTTTGCATTCATGAGTGATGAATACAATAACCAGAACCAGAAGGGCCCTGCCTTCAGTCAGGTGGAGGAAAAGGACAGTCAGGTTTATTGGGCTGTGTGGATTCAATGGCCTGGCACATCAGAAGCACAGGAGTATAAGTGTCTAGTGGACACTGGTGTACAGTGTACCCTAACGCCATCAAATTACGAAGGGTCAGAACCTGTCTGTATATCTGGAGTGAGAGGCGGATTCCAAGAGCTAATTTTATTGGAGGAATCTCAGTCAGGAACTGAACATGACTGAGAACGAGTGGCAAAAGCACTCCACTGCAACTGGTCCAGAACTTCTGCACATCCTTGTTATAGATTACCTCAGGAGAGGATACTTCAAGGACTCAAACAATACCAACAGGTTTTTGGTATAGCTGCCTCGGAGATGGAGAACATTAGGTAACTGTCTACCTTGCCCAGCCTCTCAAAGAACTTTTCTGTTGAGGGGGTTACTAAGAGCAGAAGTACAGCAGGAGCTGAACACTACCACACTGGTGCACCAGTAGTAATATTGTACCATTTGAGATTCCCTGATTCCCATCCATCAGCTGATTTGTCAGCTGCAGAACCACAAACTCGAAATTGCAAATGCCATGTGCTTAACAATGGAGAAAGTAACCATTGGGTGGCTGAAAACATATCCTATATCCCATGCCACTGCCCAAAATACTACCCTGGGCCTTGACAAGCAAGTCTTGGGGTGACATGGCACTCAACACCACACTCCATTTGAAGTAAGCTATTCAGAACTAACAAACCAAAAGATCTTCAATTTAGACCTCACACAGGTCACAAAGCAAATGAGGAAGCAATCAGCTTTATCGGTACCATGCAAAGTTATCATGGACTTGGGAAGGTTAAATTGTTTTCAGCCCAGCAGTGACTTGACAGCAACATGAAGTTGCAGTTTGCTGGCCTTGATTGAATTCATAGTAAAAACTGAAGTCAGATATTTCCTGAAATGCAGAGACCTAGATCTATACATAAATAGCTTGTTTAAATAGCAATTTAAGTGTTGGAAAGTGTTTCTTACCTGTCCTGTGTTCACACTTCTGAAAACTCTGTATCAGTGCAATTAAGATAGTAGTTACAACAAGTCCTGCTGATTTTACAACAAAAAAAAAAAATAGAGAACAGCATTTCTTCCAAACATGCCCATTTGCTTTATAATGAAAACTTGGTTGTCAAAACACATACTGTACATATTAGATCTATTTATCTCAATCAAAGGGAAATGATTTGAAACTAAAAGATGAGAGAATTTAGGTTGGATATAAGGAAAAAAGTTTGTTATGATAAGGTTAGTGAGGCACTGGAACAGGTTGCCCAGAGAGGCGGTGGATGCCTCATCCCTGGAGAGGCTCAAATCAGGGCTATGGGCATGTGATGGAGCTGTAGCTGCCCCTGTTCATTGCAGGGGAGTTAGACTGGATGACCTTTAAGGGTCCCTTCCAATTCAAAAGATTCTACGATTCCATTATTTTTCTTGCATCTTGTATGTACATTATATCAGAAAGTTGACTTCTGAAATTAAATGTTGTCTTATTACCTTTGTCTAAATGATTCACAACCAAATGGCCTCTTTTCATAATGCATACACAAGAATCTGTAGCCCATGGCACTGGGACAGACCTCAGCCAACTGTCTGGCTCAGCAGCTGTTCTTTCTGTCCCATGCCACCAAGATATGTGCAAGGTGTAATGATAAGAACAGCTAGTAAGCAATATTCATATGCTAGGCATTTATTGTTGCAATATGCCTCACTTAAACTTGCAGGTCTTCCTGGGTGGTTTCTACATCACAGGCCAAAAGGTAGATAAGTGATGGTTCAGAGCCTGAAAAACAGAAAAATGAAGCAGCTCCACTTTGACCAGACAAAACACTGTGGGCTTTGCAAAACACAGTGCACAGAAAGAAGTACACACATCTGGAGTAGGAAACAGTAGTCCAGGTATCACCTTCAGGCAACAAAATCCCTGTAAGCACCAGTGCTGCACAACCTTGCGTTCCAGGGAAGTGCGTGCAGTACTGAAACTGTGCAGATCATTGTCATTTCATATGGGACCTAACACGTCACTGCCCAGGTCTGCATTGGCCTGTGAAGATGGTTTTAAATGAAGGGAAAGCAGCAAGCAGGAAAAGTCTTTCCCTCTTTCTCTTCCTTCCTTCCTTCCCTCCTTGCTTCCTTTCTTTTTTTAAGTAATGGCTTTCATCTCAAATGAACCCCACATTGCTTGGTCAGTAGAAAGGCTAATTTTAACCAAACAAAAAAAAAGTTACGCTGATGTAAAACTGGTTGAACTCAAACTGAAATTCAGAACAAAACCACAATCATAAGCAGCATTTTATTAAAAGCTACCCACTTTCTGCAGATGTGCAAGTGATTTCTCATTTTTAGGATAGTCATAAACTCAAATTTACAAGAGAGTCCCTCTGATATATCTAAACCAGCAAGCACTTAAAGATACAACATTTACTGCCTCCCCCCTCACATATGACAATATTTCCAACATACACTGGAGTAACACAAAGAATAAGGAAGAATAAATAAAATGACACTTTCAGCCACCTTTGGTCTTTGGCTGGAATGGTCAAGCTGGCAAAAGAATGCCCAGCTTTACCCAGGAAAGTTTACATCAGGTAGTCTCCGTTTCATCTATCTGTTAATTAGATGATTGCTCATGCATTCTGTGCATTTGGGGCAATCTCTTACATAATCCAGTAAGTAATCCAGTACATTATCTCTTACATAATCCAATACACAAATGGTTTGAACACTGAATCTGTGTATGCAGATGAAATGGAAGAAGCAGTAGTAGAATGGGGAAAAAGCTATCTTACTGCAAAAAAAGCTATCTTACTGCCAGTTAGGTTATTAAGACAGCCACTGGCTGTTTGTCTTTCTTCCTGATGACATGGACTTATCCAGATGACTGCAAGCAGGCCAAGTGAAAAGCAACACAGTTACCTAAAAGCCCTCTGACAAGGTATCAAGTTGAAAGAATGCACACGTGAATATTTAGTGAAGGGACACATAGGATATCATACATATTTGCTTTTTTGAAATCTTTTACTACCTTGGAAACAATTTGGACAATTCCTCCTGTGCAATTCTAGATTGTTTTGGCCAACAAGCAAAGATTTTTTTATTTGTTCTTAACTCTTTCACACAAAAACTCTAAAATCAGTCAATATAAAACTAAAGCCAGTAGAAAAAAAATCTGAAATCAGAAAAAATAATCTGTGAGTAGTAAAGAGTCCAATGGACTGCAAATTCTGCCCACACTGAAATGGTAGTGAAGGCTAACACCGCTTTCAGTAAACCTTGCTAGACTGAGTTGACCTCAGTAGCCACATTAGCACAGGTTTCAAAATTAAGATCTTAAATGTTTGTAGCCTGGTAATTTCAAGCAGCTGATAAGAAGATAGCAAAATCAAGATGTGAAATGAAGCGATGGCTGCATTTAAGAGTGGGGTCTTGTTTCTAGACTTGTGTAGATACTAATTGTGAGTACAATAAATGTTTCATGAAAAGCATAACATGCAAGTGATCTCATGAGGTTAATACATGAACTCAAGAACAAATAGGCAGAAGATGCCAGCCATGAACACACATCCTATATATCATAATATAACCACTCAGAGGGTGGTGACACACTGGACCAGGTTGCCCAAGGAGGCTGTGGATGCCCCATCCCTGGAGGCATTCAAGGCCAGGCTGGATGTGGCTCTGGGCAGCCTGGTCTAGAGTTTGGCAACTTGCACATAGCAGGGGTTGAAACTAGATGATTATTATGGTCCTTTTCAACCCAGGCCATTCTATGATTCTATGATATGATAATGTAAGCATCCCTGTGCATTGAGAGACCAAGGTTAAAATGAAAATGTACACCCCCATGCACATGTAGCAAACATACCCTTTCACAGGGACAAAACCAGGAGCTGATGCATATCATAGCGTTGTACTGTCCTGCATACT